TTTTTTAACCGGTTATCTATTTCAATTCAGGTTTCACTAAACTGAGATTTGATATCTTTGAATCTTTGCTTGCTTATGTAGAACAACCCTAAATATCTATGGAGGTGATTATGTGCAAGCTCTTACACTTATTGTTGCTATTCAGTATCTCCCATAATTTATCGCTCGTAGGTTGCAACCACTGAAACGCAACAAGTTCTCTATTGAAATGTAAGCAAAGAAAATCCTCTTTTAGAAATATATTTAATCATAGGCAGTGTGTGACACATGCAAGCATTTCATGGCCAAGCTTTTGAATTCTTAGCTTTTCTAAAATGGGATGAAAATTTTCCGGGGTAAACAAACACTTTTGTTTAGTACAAATTCTTCTTAAATTTTGCTAAAGTGACTTCGCATACCTATGTGTCCTTCCCGTACTGGGCAGCAATTTAAAATGGGGATATTACTGGACCGTTTCTTATTCTGGTATGTAAATTTGCCTAAAAATATAATTGTTATTTAAAAAATCAGAAATGCAGGCTGAGAGAATCATATATATATATAAAAGATTATCATAGTTTGAATGTTGATTAAATAAAATTCTATCTGTGTCTTTTAATGCAAGTTGTATTCTTCCCATATATGAAAACGTTATAGCAAAAGGGTATTGTACAGCAGAAATATTTTGACCATTTTTTTTTGCTTCTGTCATATCATGTAGCAATGTCTTTTAGAACTTAGTTCCAGTTCAATAAGGATGTACTAATGCCAGATGTTGTCTAAATGGACACGGCGAGGTGCGCAATTGTTTGCGGTATACCTTGTAACGTATCTTATCGTGACAGTGGTAGACAACAGACGTATCGTTGATCAAACACAAGCTCCAACCAAAAAAATTTCTGATGGTCCACTAGTTATAAAGGATTCTCCCGAAAATATGAATAAAGAAAATGAGCTCAATACTGTCACAATATTGTATGTACTATTGCTTCCTTACCACTCTCGGTTTTTAATGCTTCAAAATTTAGGAATATAATGTGAATACCTTTAAATTAGTTGCTCATCTTTCCTGTTTCTCAATACAATTTCGGTTCTCCTTTAGTTTTTGTAGATCAATTAATTCAGTGGGTCCAAAAACACATCAAGAAAATTTGATACCTCATATGGTTAAACCAACGATACAGAAGGCGCCGATAATTAGTAATGAATTCCTTGAGGTATAGTTATATACTTGAGTATAATTGTATTTTTACGGACATGTACTTCAAATCATCTAATAACATTTTGCAGGTTTATTTTTTGAAGTGATGGTAAGTTACTGGAGAATTATGAGAATGTAAGTTCTGTATAGATTGAATACCCTGAATGGCTAGAATCATATCGTTAATATGCTGTAGCTATGCACAGCACCAAAACATTTTAAAACTTTTCATCTTTTAAACTGATCGAACAATAGTTCCGTAGAAAGAAATATCAAAAATGCTAATTTGCCGGCTTATACAAAGATTGAAACTAATGCTTTTGCCGAGTTTAATAAAGCATTGGTAACAGTTTAGTTTGAATCTGCTTTAATCAATTCCGTCTTAGTAAGTGGTGCTGGCACTTGCAAATGATCTTAAAGACAATGGTTGAAAATTACAGAATTTCAAACGTGAAGCGAGAAAAATACATTCGAGGTCAAGCGATTTTCTATTATTTACTTTAATCAATGGCGCTTACATGAATTTAACTCTAAACTGGTTGTGTAATGTGGCACCGTTTCCGACATCAATCCATCGTAAGACTTTAATTGTCAGCCTGGATGCAAAAGCTTGCAAAGTAATCCAGAGGATTTGGAAACAAGTGAAGTGTATGTATATTAAAGTGCACGGTGATTACAACAGTCCACTTAGTTGGGGACGACAAAAGTATATCAATCTACTCAGTCTTCGTTCACAACTTTTGCTTATTCTTGCAGAGGTTCGATTTACACAGTCATTTATTTACTCAATGTACCTTTGTTGTAACTTTACTTTTTAAATTAATGTATTACAGCTCGAACTACCATATATTTTATTTGAAACCGATGCGGTTTGGCTACGTGATCCCATGGAATTCTTTCAAAACCAAACCCTTATCGACGATGCTGATATTATTGTACCGACGAAAGGTTCATATATTCTTAAGAAATTGTGAATATATACAAACCTTAATATATTTTTGTTGTTCAACTTTTTGCATCTGTATTACTTTACATGTTCAACAAGCGTGCTATAGAATATGAATGAATAAGATATGCACATAGTAGTTATTTAGGTCTAAGTGCAACATTCTATTGCCTAATTACTTGACCGGTTGTAGGTTATCCAGATCATGATTTAACGTATGCATTCGACCCAATGATTGTGTATCCTTCAAATGCGTCTCTTGTATTGATGCGCGAATTAAATCTGCAACTTTCAAAAGATCCAAAAGTGTATGACCAGGTGAAATTTTTTATTCTAAACATATCGTAAAAATATTCGGAGATAAAGTAAATTTGAACTGTCAGGAACTGTTCGATGAAACCAAATCAGGTGTTTTTAAAGTAATAGAGCACAGCAATGAAATAAAAACGTAGACTCTCAGTTGGCATGGAGTAATTGTTGAGTAATCGGATAATAACACGCTGTCATCCAGAGTATGTTTGTCACAGATTTGAACACAACAAAAAGGAAATCATTAACTAAAATAACACAATGCTCCTAATGATAGGATGTTCTGGACCAGCTATGTCGTCAACAACATTTTGGATTGGTATGTCGTCAGTTCGAATGGACTGAGGTAGCCGATGGTAAATGGTTTAAACTGTCGGAGTCGGAGCGAGCTCATCTGAGACCTTATATTGTTAACAACAACTACTACGTTGGCGTCGATAATAAAATCAGTCGTCAGGCACTAAATGACCTATGGTTCCTGTCGGTCAAGAACAACTGTAATTTCTCGAAGGTTCAAAATCTGCTGCGCAAATATGGGTCGCAGATATGAAGTTATTCTAACGACGCTTGAAATTGAAATTGATCAGAAAGTATTTTAATGCCACTAACATCTTTGAAACAATTCCCATTTCTCGAAAATTCAGCTTACAGTTGACTTTTTCTTAGTCATAGATTATTCAAAATTCAATACAACCAAATTTTTAAAATTTCGCATGTTGGAAACTCCTGTATTCGTTTGTATAGTGGCATGTCCCTAACAATCCCAGTACTTCCCTTTGTCCCTGCTTTGCTTCACGGGATTTATTTTTACCTCTTCTTTCTTGCTACCAAAGCTTGTTAAAGTAACTGTTTGATCAATGAACACGCTTTTTATTGAATTTCGTGGCTTCTCTTCTCAAGGAATTAATTCTTGGTGGTGAACGAATCTAACTCAAACTTATTCTGTTGACTGGAGTAGATGAACAAACATCAGTTCCGACGTAAAATTCGTTACTCTGTTGAAACAGAACCATTCGAATTGCTAGAAAGAGAGGCTCGCGTTAAAGCTGCAGCATATTAGTACCACTAAATTTCTTTCACAGCAGGTGGTCTCAGCTCTCATTATATTGATTTATTTTGAAAGTTTTTTGAAATAGAGCAGTACTAGGCCAGCTTTAAAATAATATGCGAAAGAAGTCCGATAAGCACCCTAGTTGCTGCTTGAAGAATTTTTCCTTCTACTCAACCTTTTCTTTTGTTTTCCGCGTTGTATATAAATTTTTCATGTTATATAGCGAAATTTCTTTAGACGATGCAAGTTCATAAGCTTCAATTATGTAAGCAAACTAATCAAATGTAATACTTAAATGTAAAAACTATCATTGAACCAGTTAAGGTCTATACGCAACTAGATCCGAAGTTCTCCATCATTTTGGAAAAGAGCCATATCTGAGATTTTGGAAGGAACAGTTGACAAAAGACAATATAAATTTTAGCTTTGATTGATATCATACATTTACGCATGACAATGATTAAATTTATGGCTCTAGTCTTATAAGAATAAAATAATATCATTTGTTGCTTAAAAGTTTACCAGTGGTGAACTGGTTCCAGGAACCAATTCGCGACGTGAATGATTCTTACGATCTTACACATTTCATAATTCTTTCTATGAAAATGGAAGCGAATTTCCTGAGGTCAATCCGATAACAGCTCCTGAAATAAAACCCACAACGGGTCTTTAAATAAAGCTTGGCGAATCATTTGTAATGCTTGGTTTTTTATACTGTTGAGGTTGTAAAATTGCCAATCTTGATTACCAATAAACATTCATTCGTTGAACTCCGAATTGGAGTTTAACAGCTTCGAAATTTCTCGCGCTCAACAGTTAACATCAGGAATTCTACTATGGTCAAAGTGATATTGAACGATCGATAATTAAGCATTGCCGTTTAAACGTTGTAAGGTGGTTCTTTGCTCTCTGCCCTACATTTATTTTTGTTTATCTTGATTCTTCTAATGTTGCACCTCACCATTCCTCATCGCCTTGCTGAAGAAGCACCCCGAGAAGATCGAAAGCATCATATTCTCTTTCAGTGATCCCCGGAATTTAAACCTTCCTACAATTTCACTCTCATTTTGAAAAAAAAAAAACCATAAACAAAACAGCATGAATAGCCAACATCTGTTCATCTATATTTCCCCCTTCCCTTCTTAGCATTTCTCTTTTCTAAACTTTTTCTAATTGTATACGATCTATTGCAGATCACTTTGTTACTCCTTCAAAAATCATTTCTGGTCTGAATGTCACCTTCACTATGGGCTTACGAAAAAGCAGAGGTCAGTGAACCTGTTATAAGACACACACACTTTGTACTAATTTCTTGGTCTTCAATTTTTTAATTTGTGCCATTTTAAATTTGCCTGTAGGAGTGGCTGTGCAGAACAGACTATTCCTAATCCAAGTGATAACGGTTCTGACTTTTGAGCCTGCCAATCAGAAGGAAGTGGAAATGAAATGCTAAAAGAGGTAGACTATTATTGAAATTTAATGCCATGCAGTGGAAGTAAATCGATAAGCTATTGATGTCGACGTGGGAAAGAAGTGCTGAAGCATGCCGCAATGCGCCAGATATGATGCTTACTTGCTTGTCGTACCCTATCTATCAGACACTGGTTACTTTTAAATCTTCATTAGTTTTCGTTTTTGGTGATGAAGCGCTCTCAGATTTTCATCATTTCTCACGCTTGGCCAGTAAAAATGATAGAGTTCTAGCCGGGTATTATGAATCTTTTTTTGCTGCACGAACTGTCTGTGTCACAACCCACCAGATTCTGTGTTAAACTTTGTGATGCATAAAATAATCATTTAAATAATAGTTTTGCTCGTCACAGCTACTTTTACTTGATTGCTTCATTAATCTGATTACTCATCCATCGTGTTCCTTTCTTACGTAGTACTTCTCACTGTAATACGGAAAGTGGGATTGAATTAAGGATTATTTAAAATCCATAAAAGAATGTGTGACAGTGGTAGGGTAGGGACTTAATGGATTGAAAGGCTACTGCAGTTAGAAAAGATATGTTCTCAGTTCGATTTTGGTGATATGGAATGCTGATATTTTAAGCGGAAAAATTATATTACCTTGTTCTTCTTTCGTATTGTTTGCTGATAAAAATATTTCTAGGATGATTCAAAATGTTCCTAGTAATACTTTAAAAGTGGTTGTGATATGATTTTCAAGTCAAACTGACATAATGCTGAAAGTAATCCATTAACCACTATTTAAGGTATTCAAAATAAAGTCAAAGAATAGGAGAGGGAAAGCCAAATTAAAAGAAATCAATAATATAAAAATGATTATTAGTAAGTTTCAAATAAAACGATATTCCTCCTATATGTAAATGATGAGATGGGACATCCTGGTGACACTGGTGATATTGTTTAATGTGAAATATTTCAAGCCATTAATGCAGTGGACTGATTAGTCCATTTGTGAATGCATGCTTCATTAGGATTTGGGAAGATGTGGCATGATGGGATCCACCGGTATAGAAATGAGAAAATCGCAGATCACTCGAATTCAATTAGCAAACAACAGCAGCATCACTGATATCATGGATCGAAGATCAGTCAGTTGACCAAATTAGCCGAAATGTCGGTTGTTCATTTCTTGAGCAACACGATTATTTGTTAGTTTACACAACTTCCGGTACACATATTTATATGTGATAAATTCCCATTGAGCCTATATAACTCAGATTCTGAACTCTTGCTTCATTAGTTCGAATTTTGAACCTGTTTATAAACATATTTCCAAGTGGTTACTACTACTAAAGGGAATTTATCAAACAAACGTTATCGAAATAAATAAAAAATTTGGAGGAGACATTTCGATAACTCTTGTCAGCTTAGAATAGAAATAATGTGAAATAGGTTTGTATCAAATAAAAATAAAATGACATATTATGAACATATGGCAGAAAGTAAAGCATGTAATAATAGAATCAAGATTTCTTGCATATCCCAGCAGGTTTATATGATACTCCATTATCAGCTCAAACTGTCCGTCACTCAGAACAATTCGACTTTAAGTAGGACACGATCCACTACAGGCCTGCCCTTCATTGAATATATTGCAAATTTCAATTCAATCCGCTTTGTATTTTGCTCAAATTTTCAGGAAACCCTGTTGTGCTTTTTCTGTACCACAAATTGTCTGATTTGAAAAGTCTAAACGATATAATTTTTAGTAATACATAATTATTAAGTCGGAATTTCCGTGTTTCACCTTTGAACCTGAATTAAATTCCAGTACTTATTAGATGCACTTGTTTCGTATAATTCTCAGTACTAATTACTTCTGGCCTCATGCTGAAGCAAATAAAACCGACAGCAATAAAATGAATATCAAAACTTTCATCCTAGGTATATTTTGTTTCTACAACATCTGCATACAAAAGAAATTTCAAATGCATATCACTTATCGCAAAGAACTCGGAAGCTTCACTATCCTCAAAGTGCATAAACTTTGACAAACATTTTCAATCTTCATCTTTTTTCTTCGGGTTTTTAAAAGCGAATAAATGTCGTCGTATATTTGCTGAACTATTTCATTTCAAATTTTAGATTTTTCTTCAGCTAATTTTTCTACAAACTTCTTTAGTTTATTCTTAAAAACCGACGTAATTCTAAAACAAATTTGACTGACACTTCTGTTTGCCTCAATAACGCCAAACTTTTATATTCATGTTCACATTTACCACTATGTGAAGGATATAACTATAACTAGAAAGAAATTAAAGCAAAATTTAGTCACAGTCTAAAAATTACTGAGTAAATTCTTTTAATGAGTAAAGGAAGCTATTTATATTTTTTACTTTCTTTGTTACAGCTTTTTTTTCTGTCATTACTGTTTATTTCAATATAATACAGAATTTTGTCCATCAAAAACTATTTGGATTTTATGTAGTTCAAAATAAATGCTGGCATATTTGATGCAGGACGAACTGGCTTTGGTGAAAGCTAATAAATGAGTGAAGGACGAAAAGCTGATGATAAATTGTTACTTCATTGATTCAAAATGGAATCCTGGGAAGCTAGCATCTCATTTGGATTTGAAAATGAATTAACAAGCAAGCTTCTATCGACTTTGCACTCCCAATTATAAGATATTGTGCTTCTATCACAAGTCTTGAGAAAGTTTTCTTGAAAACTTTGACACCAAGTTTCTTTTTTTGCATGATTTATGCCATTTTTGGAATTTTATATAAGACAATTTCCTAATGTTTGTTCCTTCCAGAATTGACAATATTATTGAATTATTCTTGAAATTGTTGATTGCTTAGCGCCTTTATTTTTGCTTTTTATCTTTCTTACGTACTTCTTCATGCCCACTTAAAATGAGAGAAAGCAATACTAATTATAAGTAATGTCTTTTATTCCTACATTTCGCCAACATTAAAATCTAAGCCATTTTCCACGATTGTTTTATTATTATTCCTATTATGTAGCTTGCAGAATAGTCTGATAAACTTTAGCAAAATTTTAAAAACTAGTAAGTTGGATAGCAAATTTATTTTGTAGGTATGAGTTCAATCCTAAAGTCAAATAATCCATCGTGATGCTATTTTTTTTTTTTTTATCAGAATGCACAGTTATTTTCTTACTCTTGCAATTATAGATATAAATTTGTTCACTGAAAACGATTCATCAGTTCCGTTTTGATGTGAGTGGTTACCTCAAAACTGTCATCAAAATTTAAAATATCTTCAGTGTATAAGGAATTATTCACGAACACAATATCTTATATATAGCATAGAATAATACTTCAAAATGAATGTGTTGCTAGCAATTTATTTTTGAAAGTGAGATAAAATTCGTGAATGGAGAAGAAAATGGACACACTTGCTGAGACAATTAAAATGCATGTTACTTGTGATATATCACTTTCTAGTTGATTTGTTTTTTTTTTTTTAATTTCACTTTTTGATTTGCAATTTTGTATTGTTTGTTATTTTAGGTTTCATTGACTCTTTTAAAATTGTATTTTCAAATCATAAGAAGGGAAAGCGATTTTAACATTGGTAATGCTGAGATTTAGTCTCATGAAATAGAAATTTGCTTCAAAATGTTTTATCTTTCTCATATCCTTAATTTTTTATTCAATAACATTCTCCGGCACTACTTACTAATTTAAGGAATAGATCAATGTTTCCAGGTATAAGATGCTTATTCCTACCATTGCACTGGTACCGGTCTAATGACAATAAAAATTCAAATATGACTACTAGAAAATAACGATAAAGCCACAAAATGTCGTTTTTGGCAAAATAACAATCAGTTCATTTAATTACCAGGCATTAAAAATATGGATTTAGCAATATTTGAATGCATTTTAGTTTTTGCCAGAAATCAATCGTTCTATAGAAAAAATTTACCATTTGTAACTTCAATTGCATATATTATTCCGTTCCAAGAATTTCAAGGACTAATCTATTGTTGGAAATATTATGGAAGTGCCTAAGCGAAAGAAATTTTTCCTTAAAATTGTAACAATCAAAATACGATATATTGATACAAGAATTATTTACCTGTGTGTACGACGACTTTAAAATTTCACAACTCTGTTTGAAATTTATCTCTAAGGCAATTTTGTTATGTGCACTCTGTCTAAGCTGCACTATTAATCGATTTGTGAACTTTTGTATTAGACCTTTTCTCGGGAGATGACTAACTAACCCTTTATTCTTTTTCGTTTATCATTTTACTTTCTCTTTTTGTTTCAAAAAAGAGAAAAAATATGTCATTTGCTCATTTGTTCTATTTTTTGTATGCTTGATCTGGCTTGCCAAAGCAGTGTGGACATACTGAAAATGAGAAGCTAATCGGAACATAGTATTAGTGAAAGTTAATCAATAATAAATACTATGTGTCGAACCAACCGAAATCTACCCAAAACCACTTTTCCTTTTTAACGAATTAAAAAAGTACCTTTTTTTGAAAAGAAAAGAAAATTGTGTTCTTTTGACGCACACATAGTATGTAGAGAGCAAAACTCTAACGTATGAAAAAAATGAAAAGCAAAGGAAATCTACTAGATTTACCAATAATAAAGCTTCTAAAAGACACAAAAAAGCTTTTATACTTGTTATATTTATGCCAGTTAATGTTACCGCTCAATTTAATATATTGTTCGGAAAACATACAAAGAAAAAGGTAGAAGTTAAAACGTAATCAGTGCAATTATTTTGATCATAACTAGAAATTACGTCACATCCCTTAAAACTAATTGATGGTCTTCTCACAGTTAATTGATAGTCCACATTAGCAAAAAAGTGTCCTTAAAACTATGTAAAAATGCTCTTTCATTAATTGACTTGAGATTGCTATAGACGAAGTAATTTGAAATTCAAAAATGAATACAGCAATAGTTGTATTAAATTGAAAACAGAAAACTGCCCAAAAGTGATATATGGATTGATTTTTAATCAATTGACAAATGCTTCTTTCCATTGATATTCACTCGGTGGGATTAAAAGCACATATTTTCCAATTCGTTCATCTCAAATTAGAGAACTATTGAAAAGCATTTCTTGCATTTTCTGAGCAAAAACTTGTCAAAATGCTGATAGAGAAGGTGTGAAATTGCAGAAGTACCTGGCTGATCAAATATGACGGATAAGACAAAACTTGGTATTCAGTATTATTTCTTCCTCGTCGTATATAAATCACTTTTCGTTAAACATCAGAATAGAGTTCAAGGCTGATTTGTTCTTGTTCGTAAGACATGAGGACAAAATAGTTATGTTCTTGTTGAATAAGACAAGTGATTTGGACTAAAAGCATTTTAAAACATCAGTTTGTCATTGTTGAGCTTTCGTCGAAAGGTCATAAAATATCTGAGTTTTCAACAACACAAGTAGTTATAAGCTATCATCCATCACTGTTTTCATTAGTCAGTATCAATTTCAGATAGTTGATCACTATTTGTTTCATTGTAAAATTCTTGAACCGTCACCGTACTGCATATTTAGCTAACAGCTATTGGACCAGTTATTGATATTTTGCAGTTTCATGAATCATTTTAGAGTTATACTGAATCGCTTCCCTAATCAAAAATATATATATATATATATATTAAAAAAAGAACTAACAAAATATGGCAATAAATGATTTAAAATTTTAGTTACTTTTGCACCAAACTCAATAACTTTTTAAACAGTATCCATTTTATGAAACCAATCAACATTCCGAATTACGATTTCAAAACACTTCACTTATTTTATTGAATGCACTAATCTTTTTTATACGTTTTTCATCGTATGCTTTCTATTTCGAATCTTCAAAAATAGTTCTACTTCATTCATTCCTTAGATTACTATTAGTAGCAGAGCATCCGTAAAAAATATTCAACTCTGAAACAAAAAAACTCGAATAGTTAAAATGATCACTACAGATCACTGGAACAATATATTACGAATTACTTGTGAAAAGCTATTTCAAAGGAAATGTCAAAGAAAACGCAGCAGTAAGCATTAACAATGGATGACAGTGAAGCGGACATACAGTCTAATGAATTGCAATTTGTTTGGGAAGCAATGACACCTGAACTTCAGGTAAAATAAGAGTTTTATATGGTAATTTGCTGAAAAGCAACAACATATGAACTGCATTAACAACAATCTTCAATGGTTGTTTTTTGATTATGTGCAACTTTTCGAAATTTTCAAAAATTTCTTTGTTACTGACTAATAAAAACAAATGGATTGAGAACTAGTGAGACCAGAACAGCAAAAATAAATGATATCACATTTTATTACTCAGAAGGCCACGCATAGAAGGAAGGAAGGTCGTAAGTTAGAACTGTAACACTTAAGGCTGACCTAGCCTGCTAGCAAAGCAAAATGCCTCACAGACAAACAAATAATGTATGGTCGACTACGGCATATTGTGACAGATTTCCAAATCGACACTTTAAAATTCAAGTGATTTGAGGAATGGATTAAAGTAACAAAGTATTCTTGTATCGGTCCATTTCAAAATAACAAAATGAATGAAAAGTAATAAATAAATTTTAAAGATTCTTATTCATTTTCTCGCCACTAACGTAAGGATATTCAGTGAACACTTTTTTAACATACTGATTAAATCAAGCACTATCATATCCTAATTTTTCAATTAATGTCCTTCTTTTTCATTAGAAAAAAATAATTAGTGCTAAGATTATTCATCCTTGTTTAATAATAATAGCTTTAATAATATACTTGGTATACTTGGTCATTTAATAATATACTTGGTAAAAATAAAAAACAGTAAAAGTGTAACATTTTCAAGGAATTTAAAGCAGAAGAGATTGCTAGGAATGTGAACATCTTATGAGACTATCATTAAAATGAAATTACGACATCCGTAAACGATTAATTCGATTTATTAAAGTTCATTCTTTCAGTGTGAATACAGCTTTTAGGACTTTTAAAATCTTTAAAAAACAAATCATCCAAGATGTTGTGAGAAAAAATGCTTTTTCTTTAAATTGTATTCTTTCGCACAAATTTTGTTTAAAATTTCTTTCTTACAACAGGTCAACGTTCCAAACTCTGAAGAGTATCAGTCGACTAACACGGCACTTCCGGTTTTTCAACAACAGTCTATCCAGAATGAATATCAAGGTTTTATTTTCAATTTTTCATGCTTAATTTTTGACAAAGCTAGTCTATTTAGTTACTATCTTTTATTCATCTTTATATTTATTTATATTTTTATTTATCGATTTGCATGCCCATATTTGGTCTTTGTTATAAGTTTTACTAAAGAAAGAACAAATCCAATTTCCCTCTACCAGTATACGCTCCTATACCATTTCTTCTGAACACTCTTCTCTCTTCCGAGGCAAAATGAAACAGTATAATAGTGATTGTCGTTGTCTTTTTTGAAAATTAAAAAAGTACAATCAAATTTCAAGAGTCTTATGACTTGACTATTCACAATCAAAGCATTAAGTCATTTTTATCTAAGCTCTTAAAAGTTTTACTATAAGTTTTTCATTTTTTCGCTCAATAATTCCCGTTTTCGACTAACAACAATGTATTTATGTGGATATATTTTTAAAACCCACACGTCATCTTCATTCTGACTTCATCATATTCATTTCATCGATAAAATTTTCTATGAAATTTTTGTGATTTTGAAACAGATTTCAATTCTTAAATCAAGATTAATTTTTACAACAGTCTTTAAAATACTTGATAAGTTAAATTACTTTTTACACTTTAGTCTTTTCAAATAACCAATTAACAAAGTTTTGCTTTCGAAAAATGAAGAAAAAGATACTAATGCAAACAATTGTGTGCATTCTCCGCCTTTTCACTATAAGTAATGAATAGACAACAGCTGTTCAAATGAATGATTAATTGTTTGCAACAATTCAATCACTCAATCATACCCATTTGCTTGACATCACTCCTCTAACAAAAATAATTTTTATAATTACACTCAAATTCTTTTCATCTTATTCAGTACGAGAATTCTCTGATCTCCTTTACTGCTCTATTTGAGCTGCTGCTCAGAAAACAAAATATCTACTACCAAAGCTTTATTACCACAGAGTTCAATAATGTCCAATACTTCACGTGTCATTTGTACTGGTTAATCACGTTAGACAGCTAATTACGATCACTTTATAATATTAACAAGTAATGATTTTTCTCTTCAGTCCTTCTTTATCAATGATTTTTTTTAACATTTGTCATAAAAGAAAGAAAAGAGATAAAAGGAATTTGGCAGGTCACCCAGGAAACTCTTACTGTTGATATTTGTGGATGACAAGCTTATCTGGCTTTATCTTTATGAAAATCAATAAGGCGTGTGATAAAAGACTACTTGTATATTTTACTCTCCGAGAGGATAATGATCTCAGAGGGTAATGACTTTAGAGAAGAATTGCAGACTGCAAACTTTTAACATTCCAACTAATTTTACCGGTCTTAGATCTCACTATAAATCGTGGAGAAAAGATAACCAAACATGATTATTAGTGAAAATCTCTTCAGCAATAAGATTTCCTCAATGTCCTAAAAATCACGAATCAAAAAATCATGAATTTATTTTTCGGGCATCGTCATCTTACTAGGTAATCTGACTAGCATATTTCAGATTTCCACAAGATAAGCAAAAAAAGGCCTAAAAAATAAGGCATGCCTTTCTTAGCATCTCTAACTCGGAATTCTTAACTACTTTCAGGACAAAGCTATGCATACTTAAAGATGGAATTCTGAACACTATCACAAAGTTTTTAGGAGTAGTGGGACTGTCATGAAAATATTAAGTGCATATAAAATAAGAAAGAAATAAAAAAAAAATGCAAAAATTTCTCAGGAAGTGAGGTGTAATACACGAATGAAGGGTTGGAACAAATTCAAACATGGTAGCATTATTTTTACTTCTTGGGGCTATTGAGAAGAAAGATTAATATGCTTGTCATATCTTTTCCGTTCATTTCCTATTAATTTCTGCTACAAAGCATTCACTGAAATTTGTAAATAAAAGACAAAAGGAAGAGAGAAATTGCTGATTTTCAACAGTTCAAAATATAACAGAAGTGTCAAACCGATGAAAAAGCAGTAGAACTTGCAATAAGATCGTAATTTGAAAGATAAATTCTGATCAGATGATAAAGATGATTATGATTCAGGAAATTTTTGCTTTTTAATCTACCGCAAATAGTTCATATTGTCACTAATTTCATTTTGGTCATTCCAATAAAGTTTAGTTTTTTCTTCCAGCGAAGCCATTCGAAATAAATGGTCACAAAGTTTTTATTTGAAATCTTACTATATTAGCAAATTATTGAAAAACTCTTACATATATGTATATCGAAATTTTCTCATATTTTTTCAATCTCTCATTTTCCACATATCTCTTAATGGATAGAGATATATTCATCAATTTTCCATGATTATATTCCTTTCAGCCTATTTTCTTTTGCTATAATTAGTTCTCATTGTCAAACTATGATCGGTTTTGATTTTATAAAAGTAAAAGTTTATTCAGTCAAAGTTATTTGTAGGTTTTGTTAAGAAATATGGTTAAAAAAAATATAGTCGAATTACCAGTGCATCAAAATTCAGTAGTATTATAAAATTTCCTTTTTCCTGATTCCTCAAAGTGACACTTCTTTTTGCTTTCTGCAACAGCATAATGGATGTATTTTTCGTTCCTTCAGGAAAAGAAAAAATAATTTTAATAAATGCACTTTATTTTGTCAGCAAGTGTTAGTGCCTATTCGTTTATATATGCCTCCGATCTTTTTAACTGGATGTTCATTTTATAAAAAACGGGAAGGATTCTTAAAAACAATCTGTGAAGCGTTGGAAAAAACTCGCTTCTTGAGATGCTAATAAATTTCTTTACCGTTGAATGCATTGAGAATTCTTGTATTTTAAACCCTTTCAATATCACATGCCATTTAGTGCTAAATTGGAAGAAGAGATAAAATTTGGTACCTAAGTCAATATTTTTAAACTAATCCTTTTATAGATAAATCTCCTCCTTTCCTCAGTAATGAAAATAATATTAGTTTACGAAAACAACAAACAAGACAAAATTACCAGTAATTCGAACTTCCATGGGAATATTTAATGTAATATGTTTTTTATTCCATGCAGAAAAATATTTAAGCGAATTTGCCAAATCATTTTGTTGCCACCGAATGTTAGCATCAATCTCGCCTGTTCTTCTCTTATCCAAGCAGTATTTTTATTTTCTTCTTTAAATAAATATCTCAGATAAAATATTCTTCATTAATCCAAATATTTTCTCAGTGATTTCTCAGAAAAAATTTGGGTTGCAGATTTATTCTGGAATAGAGGAATGGTGAGTGAATGAAATCCGGCACATCATACTAAGGTCAATCATCAAACGGTCATCTTTATAGTTATTGAGCTTTAATTCTTTCGGAATGACATTTTTTGTCATGTGAAACTAGAAAAATGAAACCTGTGCAACTCAATAACTCTAGACAGATTTGTTGCATGCATGCATGCTTCATGGAATTTACAAACCTGAAATAATTATACATAATCAATCAAATGTCACCATTTTAACTGCAATTTCGGATTGAAACACAACTTTTTTGATGTTCTTTAACAAGTGCTCATTTGACAATGTGTTTCATGAAACGCCTAGTGTTTTAAACTTTGTTTTGTAACTACGATGATATAGCATGAATTTCAACTGTTAATTTGTTGGTTCAATTAAATATGTCGTATGTGCATTTGGTGGTTTCGAACATCTGATTTATAAATAAATTTGCAGAACAGAATCAGAGTCATTCGGTGGAATTAGCAGATAACGACACCTTGCTATCATCACCAAGCAATGGGATTTATCTATCTCCAGACAATGATTCTCGACGTGATAGTGTTCGGAGCATGAGCGTTATCGATGATAATGGAGTACGTATAAAGCGAAATATCAGACGTAATGGTACACTCCCGAATTTATCAAAAGGTTCACATTTCTGTTTTATGTTTTTCCAGTATAATTGTTGCTTTTTCATTTAAGTTTATCAATTTTTGAATCAACAGCTTCCCTTAATTTCTCGTACGTCTTGATTATTGAAGTCATTATAACTAATTCTCTGTGATCTTTTGAATATTTTAATCTTCTTCAAGGTTCCAATTTACTTCTATAATGTCTTAGTTGTGAAGTCATGTTTAAATTCCTGAAAAGAAAGAACAGTAACGTAATGAAATTAAGCGGTATTCTTGGTTATTACATCTCGAAAATATTTCATAATTATGCTTTGAATGATGAATAATATCATTAATTTGAGCGAAATTCGTATAGAGAGAATTTGAGAATAAATTCTACGTAAATAATTAAGTCCAGGATCAAATAATTTTCTTTATCACTTCGGTCTGAGCACTTTTTCTGATTTTGTTGTTTTAGCAATTTTTAGTTCTCAAATTTAAAATTTTAGGAGTTCTGTGGGAATTTTAAGCATAGAATTAATTAAGCAATTAATTAATGCTGTTCTCACAAAAAAGTATTTCAAGAAAATCTCCCAATGAAAGTCAGTTAGTTGTTCTTCACGCTTTCGAAGTTCCGAAATGTCTTTGAGATCAATTCCTTAATTAATGAAACACAGCCATGAAAATATGAAGCATTTTTTTACGAGTTTAATGACCTGAGAAATGTGCATTTTCATCATAATTTCAACAAATAAACCTGAAGAAATGTCATACCAATTATTCTTTGCATTAATGAAAGAGAACAAAACAGGTTATTTTATTATTTTTCAGACATTAAAAATTTCGAAAATATAGAAGCTTCAATCACGCTAAGAGCAAGAGAGTACATAGAGAGATACTTTTGTTTGAAAAAGACAAGACTATCTATCCGGTTAATGCAAACACAAAATTAATACATTTAAATTTTTTAGATTGAAATTTATGGAAAGTCATGAAATACACTGCATTTGCCATTCAAATATATTTTATTGACATGTATGGAAAGTTAAGGATGCAATTCACACTTATAATTTTTTAGCACATTTTTAATGTCTTCGTATACTAATTATAGAAAATTATAAAAACACTAACAAAATATCAATAACATTGATTTGTGGACTGATTAGACGAATGTTTGCTGCAACTTTAAAATAAAATCAAACTTGATCGATTGATCCGTCTTATATCTACTTGAATTGTCAGTAAATATATTACTTGGTATACATTCTTACAGAAAGAAAGAATTTAAAGTTTTTTTTGTGCTGTTCAATTTCAACACTGAGAAAATTTAAAAATTTTTCACATTCAACACATACTATTTATACATTTTATTCCTTTTCCTATCTTCCATTTTACTTGTTACCTTAACTATTTTTTCCTGATAAATAGATTATCTCCTTTTCTGAAAGTTGCTCTATCCACTCTCATAACACTTTTTGATCGCTTCTGATTTCTTTCAAAAGTATTCATCATATTAATATTTCTTTACTGGAAGATCAAATATTCAATTTCATCCAGAAAAGATGATTCTTTGGGTATTTTCCAGTAGTTGTCCTTTTAAGAATTCTTATATATTAGATAGTTAAAGTTTCAGGAGGTAGCTTATATTATCTGCAGAGATACTTATTTTTTACTCACTTTGTCTTGGATGAAAAGCTTGAACTAATTTATGCTTGATTATGCTCTTTTATACTGAATTTATCACTATATTTAGTGTTACTGAGCACAGAAAGAATTTTTTAGAAAATCTTAAATGACAAAATTATATGTAATGATGACCTGGGAAATGAAGAAGAATGAAAATTGAGATTTTTGGTTAAATTTCCTTCATTTCTGCTTGTGATTCTACTAAACATGCCTCATTTAATAGCAAATTTAATCATTATTATATATTTTATAATGGACAGTTTAACAAAGAATATTTAATTTAGATAAGAATTAATGTCAATATGCCACCAATACAATCATTTCTCATTTCAGGTACTTCATCGCTTACACATCATCAGCCTTTTTTGCATAATTATCTACAGGTACCACAGTCTCGCACATCACAGACAGCTCGATCCAATTCTTCAGTTGCCAGTATGCAGTCGGATTTAGAGTCATGTTTGAGCGATGCACAATTTTCAAACGATCTTATTGAAGGAAAAGCCATCGGTTTGCACTCACTTTTTTCTTCCGCTTTTCCTCAGTTACCAGTGCATTGCTTTTTCCGTTGCAATTTTCATTTCACACCTGTATGCTTCATCTCAGAGAATGCACAGATGAAATCTTTTAATGAATTATATTGAACAGAATGATTGCTTAAATTCTAGTTCCAGTCGAGTGTTTATACTGGTGAGAAATATAAATGAATTACTTGTTCGGGTCGAACATAATTGAAATAACTAACAATTTGTTTTTATCTCTTCTGCTCTTCATTAATATTTTGAAAAACGTTTTTCATAATATTGGCAGCCATATCTTGAAAATGTTTTCATTTATATTGAGGTAAGGAGAAGAAAGAAATCTGGAATTACGTATCAATAATTCATCTTTTTTCTGATGTACTCTTTTACTATTTCTTTTCCAACTTGATTCAATTCCTTTTCATAAAAGATAAAGAGATTAATTTAATCTTTCAACAGTTAATCGTCTTCTCATCTTCTTTTCTAGATAAATTTCTTTAAATTTTTCTGCTTGAAATTTCACCGATCCATCTTTGGTTAGTTGTGTTTCTTGTATTATGAACTAGTAATGAATGTAAGTATAGCGAATTTCATTTGAATCAAAAATTTAAAGATATCCAGTTGCTGAAAATCAGTTTATTCAATTCTCTTTACTCCAACTTTTCTTTCTATTCATAACATAGAGCGTCCACATTCAATTGTATCGCGTATTGCTTATTGGGGATGTTTTATTTTCTTCACTTTGCATCACTTAGATGTCACTGGTCATGAAAATAGCTTGACTTCAAATAATTCTGAAAGGAAAAGGAAAGGAAGGCTATTTGCTAAGTACTGATTGCATATCTTTGCTATCGCTCCTCAAGTATCCACTTTGATCCCTTTCAGGGGAACTGATAACGATTAATCTAACTAAAATTCTATAAGACCAACGCTCTCTCTCACTTAACTTTCAATCTCTCCACCAGTTTTTTCTTGACAGTTACACTTCCCTTCACAATCTTTCATGTTATCGCCACTTCTATACTGCAAAACAAATAGATCAATCAAGTGATTATCGACAGCTTGCATCATCCATTCAAACATTTTTTCGCACAAACTATTTGATTTGAATCATTTCATTTGTTAAACAACTCTTACTCCATGGTAAGTTATTACCTAGTTTGTCAGCTCAAATTTGTATTAGATAGCCACTATCCGCTCTGGCTTATTGCCATTCCTTTCTTGAATTGCAAAGCATTCTACGAGGCTGTTCGTTTCGTTGAAGATATGAAAAGTAAAGAAATTAGAAGGCTATCTTGTAAACAGTCCTGAGATTGATCATTATAATGTTATAAACCAAACATAATTTTCCGAGAGAAATTAGAAAGATTTTAATGCTTGGCTTTGATTGAATTTAAATCTCAACTTTAAAGGTGGTAAAGAAGAACTGAGAAGCATGCTGTTAAATAGTTAAATAGAGGATGAAATATGATGATCATGATGTAAGTATAAACTGAGCAGCAGACAATAAATTTGATGACTGCAATAAATAGACATACAAAAATAAATTGACTCTGTAGAAAGACTTTTAAACCAAGTTGTGTGCTTAAATACTGCTTAAATACAAATTACTAATTCATCAAGTAATATATTAGAAGGAAATAAAACACTTTCTTCAATCCAAGTATTGTTGCCACTTCACAATTCGCCTTGCACAATTTTTGTTTATTTTTTATAATCTTTCTTACATTAAGAAATTATTTCATAGTAAGGAAGTTCTATATGCAATTTGAGGTTTCGACACTTTAAACTATTTTTACGCAAACAGTGAATTTTTCTCAACAACTTCAAGTGTATATCAGAAGTAACGATTAAATTTCTGTGGACATGCGGACGGAGTGGAACAGCTGCGGTTTTGACTGATCAATATCGAAGTACATTCCGCTTCAAACCATATGATCTGGGACGATTTGAGCAAAAACACTGTTAAATTTTCAGCTTTCTTTACTACTTAATTTTCTTTTATTTTTCAAGCATCATCGTTGTGGCATCTTTTATTACTATTCATCTCTGCTTGTGGACTAAAATCCATTAGATTTTTCTCCTCTTTTTTTCTGCTGGGCTAAAATCCATTAAGAGTACTTTTTCTTTTTTCTACTAAACAATGCAAAATGTGCAAATAACAGCGAACATGTTTGTTAGCCATAAACACTTGCGCGAATGTATGTATACTCATGCATATATTTATATCTTGGATTAGCATGCGTATGTGTATTGAGGCTCAAAAAGCTACTGAATAAGAATACATCTGGCCCGAGGGAACAGAACTGAGAGTATGAAGTCAAAAACTGGGAGCGATTGGCTTTCTAGTCGTTGCAATTCATCCAAAAGGTTGTCTGAATATTTCTTTTTCGGTAAAATTCAACAGCTATTTACCCCTTGGGAATGAACTTTTCAAATATTTTTCAAAGCAAAAGTTATAAGGGAAATATCTCATCTAATATGTGTATGTATTTGCTGTTAGTTGATTCCAAGTGCTTTTTGGCAATTTTAAGTTGACAGGCATTTTGATGCACATGAACAACCAATCTTTTCATTGAAATTTCACCGATTTGATACACTTTTTTGCCTCTTCTATCAAGTTTAACTTCTTCATGTTTTTTTGCACTCCTACCAGAGCAATAACATATCTTACACAATTCATCATTTTGAAATAAAAAGTATATAAATCATAAAATAATGTCGCGGTTATATTTGATGATATGTTGTCTATTTGAATCAATCATTATGAACGGATTTGATTCATTAGCACCACTTACTTTTCGCTCTATTTACTATTAAGCAGAGCAGATTACCTACCATTAAACTTAACTTTTTAATGATGTAATGCATAATTGAGACGAG